AACATGATGGGGGGAGAGGGAGTAGGGGGAGCAACAGAAACAACCAAAAAACCCCAGTCCTAATTGCAAAGAAATCCTTTCATTTGTGGTGTTGTTCCTTCAGTTTTAGTAATATGCTTTCAGGCTCCTTGAAGGCAGATTTCTACCAAGCAGATTAATTTAAATGCCAAAACTTGTATGAGAGGTGAAGAGCACTGAAAGCAGTTAAAAAGTATATCAAAACACTATCACATATTATTTTTTGTAATTTTGAGAGAGACACAATGCAAAACAAAATGCCAGGTGTATGTTCTGCAGTCTCAGGGTGCTAGTATATGCAGTATAATTTTTCCCCTTTATAAACTGAGTAATAAGCTGCACCTGTGGATAGAAGACTGCTTATTTCTTCTGATGGAATCTATAACCCACTTAGCATTACAGGGAAAAGGTTAATTCTGCTCAAAAACATGTTGTGTCCTTCAGTATCTGATTTTATGAACCATTCCATGGATAGTTGGTTTTAACAGTCCATTTATTTTTCTTCAAGTGCAGCTTTCGAAACTGAATATTTTGATACTTTCCCTGGAAGCAGATCGTATCAGACCCCTTGTGTGAGGGAAAACACAGAACCACAATAAGAACATCCAGTTAATACAAAAAAAGTCCACAAAAATGACATACTGTCTGAAGCATGAAGATTATTAGATATGAAAAGACAGATGTTATAAAGAAAAATATTCATCAAGGATAGTACAAAACTATCTACTTCAGAATTTTTATACTATTCCCTAAAGTATTTAATATTGGTCAGGAATCTCACAGATTCACGATGCCAGAAAGAAAAGCTCTGGGGCCATTCATCATTTGCCAGTAACCCATAAAAACTTGGGTAAATAGCAAGGAATGTAAGAATTAAGAGGCTATTTTAGTTTTGGATTTAGTAAACTTTCAAAAATAATCAGGGAGTTACAGCAAGATAACACTCAAGAGAACTCATTCAATGCTTCAAATTGATAGGGGATCTCAAGGAAATCAGTAGCATGAACCAGTTCATCTATACATATGTCAACATACAATAACCCTATGAAAGGAAAAGGAATTAGCAGTTTACTTCACTCCCAGTATATTTCTGTTTGTTATAAAGTTTATTAATAACATCAAATTAATGGGAAGCATGAATAATATATGAATCTCTAAAATAAAATAGCATATCACTTATTTAATAGAAAGGATGCAAATTCAGTGAAAGAGGAATAAAATTATTTTAAGTAAGTTCCCTTGTTAAAGATTTTAACATTCCCATTAAATTACAGCATCTCTATCATTCCCTAATAATCACTGGGAAATAGAGGTAATTATTTTACTCTCCCTGGTTGCTTGTTGCTAAAGTCATTGGAAATGCAGTGTGAATGAATCTGACTTTTTATCCTATTTACACTACTCTTTACACTACAAGAGCCAGTGCTGTTTGGTATGGGGTTTTTTAATGGACCATTTACCAACAGCATCATTAAATTAACACCATCATGAAAGGACGGATATCAAACCTAAGGCTGTATATCATAAGGAAGGCATCTTATGAGTTTCATTTCCCTTTATTTGCTTTTTAAGGAGAAATGTGTGGCGCATGGCCTCTGTTTTTTCTGACTACTAGTCAATTTTTTATCATCAGGAAATAAAAGACAAGGATAAAAGAAATTGACTTGAAATAATCACCATATTATTACTGCTGCCAATAATTACGGCTACAAAGCTTTACACAACAGAATATTTATTTATGTGCTACACAGTTTCACTTAACCTTCTACTTCAGTGTTTTTCCCAGTAATATTGTTCATAATATCTCATTAGCTTCTTCTAAATAAAAAAAATTAGTTCTTTCTGGTTCTTTATGCAAGAAGGGCAGAAGACTTGCTAAACACCTCTCAAACTATTTCCTTTACCACTGGAAACACTTCATACATTCAGTGGACAAGCACTCCAACATTCTCTGTGTTCACCAAGACAAAAAAATAATTTGACTTATGAAGAATTTAAGAGGCATCAGATGAGAAATAAGTTGGTAATATGAATATGTACTTTCCATATTCAAATCTGATTCATGTGCTTATATGCATGCTCATAATTTAATAAAATTCAAGGCAAGGAAACAAGGCCATTAGCTGGTAAGCAACATTAATATCTGTCATTCCATATTCCCATACATCCTGCATTCACTGTTGCAACAATGTCTTTTACTGTCACACACTTCAAGAATTAAAAGAAAGTTTTAAGTGGCATGGTGAAGTGTATCCATAAGTAGCCACAACATTGCCTAGCTGTTTTTCTCCAAGCCTTCAAGAAAACAAGGCTTTTCTTGTTTTCAAGAAAACAAGACTTTTTCTTGGTGGGCACCTTGTCAAAAAGAACAAGGCTTTTTTTAATAACTTTTCCAAGTTTTCTCTTTTTACGCAGAAGGAAATCAAATGCCTAAAGACTTGCATGCCCTGTCTCAAGCTTTCCCATCAGCTGAGAATTTTTTTCTAAAATCATCACTAATCTGCAAATTGGTTGGCTTGAAGTGCTTCCAGCAGAGAAATCTACGTGCATGCATAATGCTCCAAACTTCCTTAGAAATAAGCAAAAGTGTTTTGAAGATTTCACAGTTAAATCCCAAGTTTGTCAAGCAGAAAATTTATTACTGCAATCTGTTCAGCATGTCACATGGCACGCTGATCCTCACAGGGACCTCTGGATTCTATGATGGCATGTAGGCAGTAAGAGACTGGAGAATAAAAAAAAGCATCTTTGACAAAGGTGACTTAAACTTTAACAGTTTAATTCCAATAATAATTAAACAAATTCCACCCAAACTTTTTAAAAACAGAGAAAATTTAAGTTAGAGAAATTTTCTTATTCAAATATCACTACCATGAAAACAATGTGTCCTCAATGTTCTCAACATGAACATTGAGTTTGAAGAACAAACAGAATGAGGTTATTCCAAACTGAGCACAAAGATGGATACAAATGATTTCCCACCAAAAGCAGCTTCTCCATACATGAAGACCCTGTGGGAGACTCATGATAGAGCAGCCTGTTCCTGAAGGACTGAATCCCATGGAAAGGACCCACGCTGGAGCAGTTTGTGAAGAACTGCACCCCATGGCAAGGACTCACACTGGAGCAGTGGAGGACTGTCTCCCATGGAAGGGACCCACAATAGAGCAGGAGTGGCACCTCCCATTCCCTGTTCTCCTGTGCTACTGACAGAGAGGAGGGAGAGAATTGGGATTAAAGTTAAGCCTGGAAAGAAGGGTGGGGTGGGAGGAAGGTTAAGATTTGGTTTTTATTTCTCATTATCCTACTCTGATTTGATTGTCAATAAATTAAACTGATTTCCCCTAGTCGAGTCTGTTTTGCCTGGGACGGTAGCTGCCGAGTGATTTCTCCCTTTCCTAAGCTTGATCTATGAGCCTTTCCTTGTATTTTCTCTCCCCTGTCCAGCTGAGGAGTGACAGAACAGCTTTGGTGGGCACCTGGCATCCACCCAGTATCAATACACCACACTGGGCTATACAGTCCATGCATTCCCATTGAAGTCATACTGATATAGAACAAAATATATCATTCTATCTGATTGGTTTTTTTCACTTAGTAAAATTTATGGGGTTTTCCCCATTTTACACTAAAGGCCTTCCTACATCTTTTACAAAGTAAAACATTCCATGGAAAGATCAAACTATAAATCACAGGGAGACCAGAAACTTCTAAAAGTGAAAAAGGTAGTGACTGAGAAAAAAAAAAAACCAACAAAAACCCAGGAAATTATGTATACATATTATGAAAGACTAACCAATTTGAAAAATAAAGCCCTGGCCTATTAATTGCTTTTCCTTTTTCTAATAGTTAGCTCACAACAATCTTTAACTGGAAAGCTATCAATTTTAAAACATTAACTAAGGAATTAATAAATGTTCTGCTAAACATCTTTGTGGTGGTAAGTACTGAAGTCACCTCACTCTTCCATCTAGCCAGAAAAAATATTTAATATGAGGCAAAAACATTTTATACTTTTATAGGTTTAAATGATATTAACTATCCAACTGTACTGTATAAATGTTATGATTTTGCCACTAAATACTTATCTAAATAGAAATAGTGGGAGAAAATTCTATGCTTATTTACTTCTAGGTATAAGACGACTTTATGTAAACCTCTTCCTGGATTAATAAATTTGCTCCAATCTGAGTCATACTTTCCTCAATTCTTTAAGTACCCATAAGAGGAAGGAAAACCAGGACAAAGTTATTGGATGGGTTTGAGCTAGTTAAACTTTCTCAATATTTAAAAATCCTCCTACTGAGGTTAATTCTTAGCTCACTTTTTTATTCATTACTGACTCCCAAGGAAGGAAAAAAAATACTTTCATTGCTTACATGGAATTTTTTAAAAAATTCCTACAAAAGAATACACTTAAAACTTCTTTGACAAAGCTACATTTGAATAGAAATATAAATGAAAGCACACAGTAAATCTTATCAAAGGGCATAAGAACACCATATCAATGGATGAATTTGACAAGTCTGATCTATAACATATCCTACAAGAGTTTCTCTGAGGTGATGAATTTGTTTTCTCTTCTTTTCACTTACCATATTCTTGGTTCACTAGTATACATTCACTGGACAACACATAGAGTATTCTATTAAATATAAATACCGATCTACATTTCTACTATAAGCTCTTTGCGGGAAGGGAAAGGTACAGTAGCATGAAAAGGTTATTTTGGGGCAGGGAACGGGGAGGGAGAAAACTGAGAGAAAACAATGTAAAACTCTTTGGTTGAATACTCTATTAAAAATTACTGCAGTCTGTGCTAATACATTTCTGCCTTTGTAAAACTCCAAGTAATCCTTATGAAATATTTAACACTTATTACACACATAATAAAAAAAATTACTTAAGGGGGAATAGGAAAAAAGTGTACTATTTTACACGAAAAGAGGCCCAATGCAACATATTGCTGCCAGCAAACTTACCAGTCGTCTTCTCTCCTCTTCAACAGCAATCAGGAGCCGAGCAAACTCTTTCAAGGACTGGGCTGAAATGAAAACAAAGAAAAAGAACGTTCTGTTTAAAATTAGATTTTAAGATCAGGTGAGTCAGTTATCTGGCTTGAAGCTATAGTGATAAAATACTGCTCTTATATAGTACTTCACTAAAATTAGTAGCCATTAAATGAGCCACAAACTGAAGCAAGAGGTAGGCCAAGAGCAAAGAAAAAGAATCTGAGTCTTAAGAGGTATATGTATTTTAAAAATAAATTTTTAAATGGAATATGGCAAACTGATTTTCATGAAACATGCAAAGACCAGTCTCAAAAGAAAGAATTCTATTATCAGCCACAAAATTTATTTTAGCACACTAGAAGTAGAAAGAAAAATATTGAAGTTTTCCTATTAAGGTGCAGCAAAAAATATTTGCAAAAACAATGAAAAATACTCGGGTAAAAATTTGAAAGTCGACATTTTAGAAGAAATACCAACTGTTTAGATTTAACAGCTCTTTGGCTTTACATTTTACAAGGACAAGCTCTCAGGTGACTCAAACAGATGATTGATTTATAAGCTTTGAATTCTGTTACAAGGGTGAGAAAATCCTTGCTCAAAACTGTTTTCAAATAGAAGTCAAAGGGCCAAAGCAAATGTCAATAGAAACATAACAGAAGAATTAACCTATAAAAGAGGGCAAGAAAGAGGAAAAGATTCTGAAAGCTCTTAAGGCTTTATTCTCACGTATGTAAATCTCTCTAGAAAAGTCTCTCTTTCCATTTATATTACTTTCTGAAGGGTATATGGGTTATTCAGAATTCAGCATCACAGTTCCACAGACAAAAATGTCAGAGAAGAATCATGTAAAGAGAGCTAAGTATCTCTTCTTACTTTCTCCGGATACAACCAGCAGTAATTGCTACTAATGACAGGATGCTAGATTTCATACTTTAAATCTCTGATCTCAGAACACAGATTCATAAATCCTAGTTCCTCACAATAAACTTGAGGTAACCTGAATAATTTTTGAATGAGGAAAAAAAACCCCTGGAAACAAAACTCATGGAATTTCTCAAAAGAACAGGCTTGAAAAAGCCTTCACAGTTAACCAACACACAGTGCTGAGGTTAAGCTAACCAAACTCATCTTCTTCACTATTCTTCCATTTTCCTAAGTGTTTTTACAAAATATGTCAGTCTCCATTAACATGGCTTTATCCCCTCTCAACTTCCCTGGAAGATTTAAGGAAATAAGTGCATTTTCTAGAAAGTACAGGAACACAGCAGATCCTTTAAGAGGGAACCAGTATCTGGCTTGCCTTAACTGCCTTGTCTGAGTGCACAAATTGCTACTTAGTTTTTGGACCATTCCTAAATAATTTTTATCCTTTATACCATCTGGACTTTGTAGAGGTCACCCTTGGATTTTCTTTGCTCTATTTTAACTTTTACAGTTGAAGAACACTTTGCTGTTTGTTCCAATTTCTTCTGCAAGTACTTACATAGTCTATTTTTTGCACCTATAATGTTATACTTGCATATCTTGACCTCTAAGTCATTTTTTGCTGACAAATTCTTTTTCCCCCTCTTATGAGCTCTTTGTTTAGTCTAAATACACCTGGTAAGTTAAATGTGCATCTAGTTGGGTCTTGAGTCTTTTCCTTTAATATTTTCCCCTGAGAACACAAACACCAGAAGATTTTTCTAGTTATGTCAGTATTAAGAACTTAGTTTGATATCCACTGAATTAACTCAATCTCTTAGAGTCAGTTTATAATGTTCATCAAAAAAAACCAAAAAACCAACAAACAAAAAACAGGTAAAGAAATAAGCTGATTATGTTACTGGTTACTGGTACTGATTATGTTACCGGTTACTGATTAGGTAACTGGTTATGTTACCTGACATGGAATCTGTTGAGCATTACATTCAAGAATATTGAGTACCCAATACAACACTCTAAAAACTAAACAAAGAGCCAGACAGACATGGCTAAACTACGAGGAAGTGGGGAGAAAAAAACTCAACCAGTAAGAGAGGCTTTTGATTTATATTCCTAATTTCAAGGCAAAACCAGAGGGGTTTTTAGTTTCAAAATTGAAACTCTTGTTTAGTATTCAAATAAATCCAGGTCAGTCAGAGAAAAAAAGCATATACAATATGTTCTGTAAGTCTGCAAATCAAGATTTTCCTCAATATTTAATACTAATATAAAGATGTATACACCAATATATAGGTGTATGTCACCTATACAGTGCCTCAGCTAAAGACTGAGAAGCTGTCTCCATCTCCTCTTGCCCATTGACTCACCTCTGGGGGAATCATAAAGGTCAAAGTTTCACTAAGGACACAGAACCTACACTCTTCAGAAGCACTTAGGCAATCCATCTCCCTGATCTTAAAGACCTTCGTTGGAGAGACGTCATCACATCAGTACTGACTACACCTCCGCTGCTCACTGCCCAACACCCAGGAAGCCATGGAATGTCTTTCCCCAGCTCAGAAGGTGTGCAGGGAGAATAGATGCATCATGTAATTCACACCACAGTGAAGGATGCACACCCAGGGTGACCCCACCAGTTCTTGTGTCCTTGCAACACCACCACATACATGGAAAAAGACTTTACCTGCCCCAGCTCTCCTACAATACCCCTGAGTATCGCAGTACTATTCAGAAGTTATACATCCTTCTTCCCATACAACCCTCACTCAGGGTGGCCTCATTAAAAGGCAGTGTCTGTCCCTAGAGAAGTTCAGCTGTGCTAGAAGCCACAGTAGGAGGGGGAAAGGGAAGGAAAGACAGTCCTTGTTCCAGTTTTCCCAGCATACATTTTTCCTTTCTTTCTCCTCTCTTTTCCCACAGACTCTTCTGGTTGCAAACAAGTGACAACTCTGCCGGACCTCGTTTTGGGGGTGGGCAGAGGGAGGGATGCTGAGGGCAGAGCTCACCAAGGCATCTCAGGCCTCCTGGGCAGCTCACCCACTGGGCACCGAGCACCCGGGCAAGTTGGGCAGGCGCGTCCTTCCCCTCCACAACTGAGCTCCCTGCCAGGATTTCAGCACAGACCCTAGGCACAGAGTACACACACATCTAATGCTGGATTCCCACCTCTCAACAGAAAACAAACAAATACTACAACAATAATAATCTGAGGTGCTCTTATGTAAAAAGATTAAACACAAAGATTTAGAAATTAGACCGATCTGTGTCAGATGCAGCTCACTGTCAAGACGCCTGGGCATTACGTACCAGCCTCACAATCTTTTCTTACTAAGGCCGCAATAATTTTTTCTCCCCCTCTTTTTATCAGAATAGACATAGAAGAATTAAAGTGAACTTTGTAAATACAAAAGGGTATGGGGGAGGAAGAGTCAAGTATTTTACAAGAGAAAATGTCCTGGGAATGTGTTGAAAAGAAATAAATTCTGAAACACATCAATAATATAAAGTACAATATGTAATCTAACTTTTATTAAATATGAAGATATTTTTATTTTTTTCTGAAAGAATTGTTGTTATTGGTGGGCCATTTTAAGAAAAACAAAACGCTGGCTCAACACTTTATTCTAAGTTATTCGGTGATATTAGCTTACAAAATCTCAACAGTTTTACAGTTTGCTTTTTATTTAAGGGCTACTACAAAAGGACTTGTAAGATACATTTGGTATCATGATGGAAATAATGCCTGTGAAAAGCAACACCCAACAGGTAAAAAACATTGTGTATATGTATCTGGCTGTACATTTGTGGTCTCATTCATCACAATCACAACAGGTTGCCAGCTGTTCTCTTTGGAGTATTCCCAACCCAGCTATAATGTGCTGCAAAATTTCCCTTGATCAGGAGAAATGGCTCCTATTACTTTATTTACAAAAAATAAAGACCCACTCTCTATATTTTTAAATGAAAAGTCTTTTAATTAGTTTGCTTCATAAGGAAGCAAACTAACAGTACCAACAGCTTAAACTTTAACAGTGTACATCAACAATGCCTTTTTTTTTCCAAAATCCCTAGAATTTCAAACACATAGTACAGCTCCACAAACAACTACACTAACATAATCAAAAGAGAACTGAATTTTGATGTATGATTAAGTGAATGAGGGAGAAGTGAAAAGGATAAAAATGCATTTATCTGAATTTATGGAATGCATTATTAAAAATACAACTCATTTATGCTCTAGTAATCTGGTTTACTGCACTAAAATCAACCCAGTGGTCCCTAGGAAAAAAACATGTATGTAACAAACCTTATGAAGTTTTTGCTATATGCTTGTGTAGGGAATGTCTACAGACATTATTGAAGCTACTCTATCAATCATTAACTTAATATTAAAGTGTACAGTGTTATACTGTACTACTAAATGTTACACACAATAGGTATGATATCATGTACATTTAATGAGAAAAGGAAAACAAAGTGTATGACACATACAGTAGTTTAAACATGACCAATACTGCACTCAAAGACATAAAACCAAGTTTGGAAGGTAATGTTCAACCTAAGATAGACTGGAAGATTACTGTGGAAGACAATGAAATTTAATGTTCTTTTCTGTGCAATGGACTGTTGGCTTAATTTTTATTTATACATGCAGCCTTAAACAATGCATAGGCAATTTTTAAACACTCTACACAAGAAAACATTTTATAGCAATATGAGCAGATACCACCACCATCTTCTGATGACAGAAATATGCCATTTGTTCTTATGACACCATGCTGTATGAAAGACAAAAATGTGCAAGACTGTCATCCTTGTATCTTCCTGATGTGACTGAGGAAACGCCAGGAGTGGGCTGCACATTGCTCCCAGTACACTTTGGCAGGAAGGTCAGTCAAGTACATCCTCCAGAAGTGGTCATATCTAGCAGAGACGTGGTATAGCAGGCTCTGAATTCATGCTTGAGCGCAAACTTCAACTAAAGTCTTCAAGGGAGTTTTTCCCAGTTAGTAACACATTAGTGAATCAGAATTCAAGATGGACCAATGGCCCATAAGGAAATTTTCTAAGGTTTAACACTCGTTTACTAGACTTCAGCGAGAAAGCA